ATACTCAAATAAAAGTATTATCCATAAATATAACGTATAAACTGAAAATATATTATATATATATATATGTGCGTGAAAGAGTAGAAAAAGAAGTAGAAAAGAAGAGGTCAAATAAGAACGAATGCTGGGCATGTTCCATCTTTAACAATTAAAGCATTAAATAAAGCACGTAGGCAGATAAAAAAAAGAAAAAAGAAAAGAAAATGAGACACGCTGTCCGCGTAGGAATGATACAATCGGACGGTTTTCGCTTTCTCGTTCACCAAGCCATATGTTTTGGCTGTCAAAACATGTCTATCTCAAAATCGCCTCTTTAATATCATTCGCCGGTTTTGGACCATCAGCAGTAGACACAATCCTCGACCACCAGACTGGAACCGCACTTGTTGCTTTTAAAATTCGGTCGGTTCTCTTTGATAGTCCTGATATTTCCTATGCTGTCTTTGTACTTTTTTTTTATATCTTGTAACAGAGATGATGGTGATTTCCGATTCAATCCTGCCATGCGGAAAATATACTTGTAAATTGAAAGAGAAAGCTCTTTTGAAAGCAACATCTCTTTTACAGATTTCACGTAAGTTATAGAATTCGAAATTTAGCTGAGCGTTACATTATATCATTTAAAAGAATGTGGCCAGCCATGTTCAGTAAGCTTTGGGATGCATTCTTCCAGGAATAGGTCAGTCGCCAAGAGAGGCCTAGGTGAGCCTACTTCCCACCCTAGATAATCATATGACTCCCTATGTGAATATGATGTAAACTAATTTTGGTGTATAAGTCTTAATTGGTGTCCCCCTTACTTAAAGTTCATCCACCCACTCAATTTTTTTTTTTAAGTAATAAGCCTGTTCAGGAATAAGTCCAGTTGATCTTTCTTGCTTTTTCTCATGAAGTTTAAGTAGACATTTTCTCCGACCATCTTCAGGAATTTTTTACTCGATATTAAATATTTAACGAATATAACATATACCCCGTTTAAAATATTAAGTAATATATAAAATTAATAAAATAAAACAAAATAAAAATGAGTAAAAAGATAAGAATAAACAAGTCTAAATAATTTTTGAATTAATGAACGGTATTTTTTTTTGTTTTGTTTTTTTAATCATTTCACCCCTAACCAGGCAGTAATGCCACTAAGACGCAATGAATTATTGAGATTAGAAAAAAATTGATTTGCAAGTCGGTAGATGTAGGTCATTGACGGTTAAGGAGTTTTTACGTCTTAGGTTTGCTGGTTATGGATTTTCTATTACTTAGTCCAGATTGACTGGAACATGATTTACCAGTGTGTATGCTCACACACACAGACGCGCAAGAGTGCGCATACACACACATACACACACACATACACACACGTGCGCGCACACACACACTCCACCTAAACAAAAAAAAAACACAGGCACAATGTGTGTGTGTGTGTTCCCCAGTGTGTACGCGCGGAGTGGTCGTGATACCAGGTATGCTTTGGAAAATAACTTTTAAATAATTATAATATCACAGGAAAAAAATGTTTATTATATATATCTTCTTACACAAAAAATAAATGAAAAATATGTATATTATTTACACATGGAAAGTAACTGAAGAATATTCCTCTACACATATCAAAGAAAGTCCTGGCTATGGCGATAATCCGACAGAAAGGACATTCAGGCCGGTAAATGTTGTTAATAATGTTTATTATAAAACAGAGCATTTACTTAAATATTTGTATCTATAAAAAAAGAATGTATAAACATAAAAATGTCTTAAAATAATTGTAGGACTTTGTCCATTTCATAATGTGTGACGTCATTTATTTACATTTGGATACACATTGAGCAGATATGAATGTACGTGAGAGAATCTTGGAAGATTGTAGTTTAAAAACAGTAAAATCGGCCATGCTTACCGAACGCTCCTCTGTGGCGAAATCGGTAAAAGTACGTCAGGCTATATGACGGTTCCGTATAGGATAAAGGTTCGATTCCTATCGGAGGACGCATAATTTCTATGACAATTTCTCGGACATTCAAACCGGTAAATGTTGTTAATACTGTTTATTATAAACAGAGCATTTACTTAAATATTTGTATCTATAAAAAAAGAATGTATAAACATAAAAATGTCTTAAAATAATAATTGTCGGACTTTGTCCATTTCATAATATATATATATATATATATATATATAATAATAATAATAATACCCCATATCATCAGCAACCTGCTAATTGCTACTACTATCTGTATTTCTTGAGATCAATTAATCTCCTTTATCAACACCAGGGTAGAATATTTGGATCGCTAGATATGATGTTTAAGAAGCACGGTCGAGTAATGGATAGCGGCTTGGACTGAGGAATCGGAGAGCCGAGTTCGAATTCCAGTCGCACCCATTACATTCACTTATGTTTTAATACCCTTGGGAAAGGTATAAATCCTATTATTATTCGCCTACCAATGGGTAAATAGCAAAACATACCATGTTCTACAGCCTTGGATGGCAACTGGTCTACCGCAGAAAGAAATGGCAACCTACTGCGGGAAAAAGTGTGCCTTGTCAGTTATGTATCTTTCGCACTAAGCGTGTATCACGCATGGGCATAACTGAGAGATGATGATTACTCGAATGTGACCGAGCAAAAGTTATTTTAGAAGGGAACCGTGGTCCTTTTACTGGGACGTTTTTAGTTAGTTTTCTATATCGGCTCTCAATTTGGCATCTACGTTGGAAACAATACTATTTACTCCTGTCTCAATAGTAAGGCTGATCAGCGCGGCAAGGTCAAAATGGCAGCTGATACGCAAAACGACCTCAAGACCGTTGTTAAATGGGGGAAAAGATGGCTTGTCAATTTTAACGCCTCCAAAACTAAACGTCTCTCCATTAATCATTTGAGAGACCCCTCTCTGCTTTCCATCAGTATGGTTGATGCTATCCTCGAATTAGCGTCTCGGGCTAAAGTTCTCACCTGACATGAGATGGAAAGACTACATTGAATCAATAACTAGATCAGCTGCCAAGAATGTCGGTTCACTGTGTCGAGCGAGACAATTTTCCTCTCCGAAATTTATCTTACGTATCTATAAGTCTGCCATTCGTCCACGCTTAGAGCAATGCTGCAATATATGGTCCGGACACCTGATATTTTCCTGGAGCTCCTTGATAAACTCCAAAGAATAATTATATTACTGGGCCTGATCTCGTGGCTCAGCTTCAGTCGCTTGCCCACCGCCTTAAAGTTGTGTCCCTGTGTCTATTTTATAAATACTGTCATGGTAATTATTCGCAGGAGATCTTCGCTACGGAGACTGTATGAATTTAAGCGCAATACGAGATTAGTGACGAGATCTCATCAATTTACATTAGAGCTAGCTAGATGTAACCGGAACTTCTATGCTAACAGTTTCTGATCTCGCACTTCTCGCTTGTGAAAGTCTCTCTCGGTCACATGCTTTCCAATGAACTTTAATCCGCAAAAATTTAAATGCAGCGTAAATCGCTATCTGCTGTTATCCCGATTGCTTTTTATTTCACCTCATTGCTAATGTTTCTGTTTTTAATTTCTTCACCTCCTTTAACCTGTGCGTGCTAGTGGCTCTACTGTCTTGCGTGGGGTGATGCCGATTTAAAAACAAAAACAAATTCAACAACAACAAAAAGCATTAATGATTTTGTGTGAGTGATTGTCAGAGCGATAACAAAAATAGATGTGAAAACGTAGCAAAAGAAGAAGTGGTGAGCCATGATCACCCACATCCTGGGCATATAAAAATCAATAAGTTCCTCTCTATCTATAGCAATGTTGCATGCCAGGGAGACATTCAGCTAGAATCTGAACTAGAATCTGAATTTTAAGGCTAGAACCATAATGTTTGGTTTGACATTACTTGCCTCATGCCATTTTTGACAATCATATTCGCGAATTTTAAGTCGTCTAACAAAAGTAGAAAAATCGATCGGTTCTTACTGAAACTTTTAATTGCTATCACCTACAATCAGTGAAGCTTTGGATGAAAATTGATTCCACAAAGAAAAAAATCTAACCTTAAAGAAGTGTTTTCTTTATTTTGGAGGATATCGCTTCTCTATCTGGCAGACTCTTGTTCACAAACGAAAAAGATTCATGTCTATCGTTACTCTATCGCTATTTCCATGGAAAATATTCAAAGTATCTCCAGATCATTTTTTCTTCAGTTAGAACACGCCATGCTGCTTCCACAAAACCGAATCACCCTCATTTCCCCTCTATTCCAAAGTTAAGGAGAAAGTTTTTCTCAGACAACTTTTTCCCCCAAGAACTGTCTCCAAGATCAACCTCTCTAAACACTCTGTATGTCTAGCGTCGATATCTATTCTCCTTATCCTCATATTTTTCTCTTCCTGTTCTTTCATTCATGTCACACCACTAATTCAGGAACACTCTACCTTGAGTTGCTCTCGAGGATTCCTTGGGTGCTTTTTGAATATAAAACAATTACTGATTACTATCAAGATTACCAATGAAAGTTAGGGTTCTGCTGCTGTCGATGCCGGTTAAGGGTTACGGTTAGTTCCGAAAGAATTATTTCAATATATAGAAATTTCGATTTCTTCTTCATCTACCTTCGTTGTATATCAATACTGCTTGTAACTACGTTTATGCCAGAGTTATGGGTACAAAATGTTTCAGTAGGCAGTGAATATAGATATTCTCAAACGGAATTCGGACCTGGCCCGTCGTTTCGGGTGTTTGAATAAATATAGTGCGACCGAGTATTTCATTTTTAGTTCTAATATGCTGAAAAATATTTCCAAAGTCTTTTGATACGTTTAGAAATAATGTATGTCTGGAATAAACCCTCTTCGATTTCCCGACTTGTGTATAAAATGCCAACGACTGTAATGATCAATCGAGTAAACAAGGCAGATGGCGGTGATACAAGTAGTTAATTTGTAATTGTTGTTAGCCAAAGAGAAGTTTTGAATAAAAGGAACGAATAAAGAAAGACGAGTTTCTAAAAGAAAATCAGATATCAAATTGGGACAACAAAAGAAAGAAGGAAAGACGGAGGAATAAATAAATATGTGTAAAGAAAGAAAGAAAGAAAGAAAGAAAGAAAGAAAGGCAAGGTGTAAGTAAATAAATAAATAAATAAATAAATAACGTAAGAAAGAAATAAAGTAAGAAAGAAAACAAAAACGAAAGAAAGAAGCGACGAAATAATTAAGTGTAGCGAAAGAAAGAAAGAAAGAAAGAAAGAAAGAAAGAAAGAAAGAAAGGAAGAAAGAAAGAAAAAAGAAAGGAGGAAAATAATAGGAACGACTAAGTAAATAAGAGTAAGGGAAGAAAGAAAGAAAGAAAGAAAAGAAAGAAAGAAAGAAAGATAAGGAGTAAGTAAGTAAATAAATAAATAAATAAACATAGAAAGAAAGACAATGTGAAAGTAAATAAATAAATAAAGAACGAAAGAAAGAAAGAAAGAATGAAAGAAAGAAAGAATGAAAGAAAGAAAGAAAGAAAGAAAAAGATTACTATAGAAGTATATAAAAAAGTTGGTTCATTCTAAAATCTTAAACAATGAATGCAGTCCAGAAAATAAAAGTTATTTGTTTTGCCTTTTTTTTGACATGAGACCCGCCATTTTATGAATCTATAATCAACTCTTACGCATTTCTAGTGCATATTCAGTGAGCGAATGGTTGCACAAACATGGAACTCCATAGGAAGCTATTATTATGTAAGAAAAAGCGTAAACAATTCGACTATATGGAGAAAAAAGAAAGAACTTCACAAAGTAAATCGAAGAAATGCCACGAACGATAAAAATGCAATGTTTTCGAAGCTCATCTTTTCTTTATTTTTAATCTCTTTTTTTTTTGGCTTGCCATTTGATTTTATTGAGTTACTTTTCATCATATTTTATTTAATGTGCCTTTACCTGCATTTCCCTGACTGTTGCCCCGAAGGAACTATTACTTAAGTTAATGATCATAAGACGTAATCGTCTCACGGAAATTATTCTCATCTAAAAGACATCGTTTAAACAAGCAAAGAGATGGAAGAAAGAAAGAAAGACAGAGAGTAAAAAAAGTGTTCATGGATAGAATAACTTATATATGCGAATTATATATATATATATATATATATATATATATATATATATATATATATATAGACACACACACATACATACAAAGAGGGTGAAGAAAATATTTATTCATAAATAGGTAGAAGTTTGCGCATCTACCTCTAAACATGTGGGGAAAACTCGAAAGCGACGCGCGTACACGCACACACATACATATATTTATGCATTGATATGAATCATAAGTATAAGTGTGTACAAATACACACGCATGCATATATTTGTAGGACAGATAGATAGATAGATAGATAGATAGATAGATAGGAATAGAAAGTCGAAGAGATTGTGCTCTGAATAGATATAAATTGAATGACATATATATATATATATATATATATATATATATATATATATATATATATATATATATATATATATACAGAGAGGGGCAGAGACAGTAGGGGCAGATAGATGAATAGATAGATGAATAGATAGATAGATAGATAAATGAATGAATGAATAGATAGATAGAATGAATGAATAGATAGATGAATAACTGCCGGATATAACAGGCTTTATCTATCTATCTGTGTATCTATGTATGTATCTATCTATCTAATTATAAATATGTTTATAAATATATCTATATCTACATATATATATATATATATATATATATATCTATCTATCTATATATATATATATATATATATATATATATATATATATATATATACGCATTTTATGTATATATGTTTTGTACTGGTACCATTGAAAAATGTTTTGTAAAGTTTATTCGCTATCTCATAACAAAGTCAATTGAATATATATATATATATATATATATATATATATATATATATATATATATATATATATATATATATATATTAGGGAAATGAGTATGAGAGTCGATAAAAGTTTTCATGTAAAGGCGTATATGTTGACGTTTATGTTAACGTTGATGCAACTACATAAGTGCACGAATGAGAGAGACTGTTAATTTAAAACTTAAATATTTTTGTCACACACACAGATACATACATGCATACACACGCACACACACACACTCATATATATATATATATATATATATATATATATATATATTTAAGATAGATAGATAGATAGATAGATAGATAGATAGATAGATAGATAGATAGATAGATATGGAGATAGAGACAGACAGATAGACAGAGACAGACTGACAGAAAAAAAAACAAAGACATTTTCCATATATAGTAAGAATGATTATGAACATTTCCGTTATAATTAAAACCGTTAGCATTGTTGCAAATACCAATGGTTATATATATTCGTGTAACACTTTAACTATATCTATTCTCATCTAAGCATATACTGAAAATCACATTTAAATGTCTATATATACTTGCACATATCTTATATTCCATAATTTTATCCCCCTCTCTCTCTCTATATATATATATATATATATATATATATATGTGTGTGTTTGTGTGTGTGTGTATGTGTGTGTGTGCCTACACTTGTGCATGCATCTGTGTATTCTCAGGAAAAGTTATTGATTTACTTCTTGCTATCAATGGAATTATACTGCAAATATAATTCTTCTATTGTATCATAGAAATTCTTCGTTTGAAAATCAGTAGAATGGAAGAAGCAGGTATCTCTTGTGTTCGTGTTTACTTTGAGTCGATCAAATTCCTGTTGATCAATAATATTGACTAATAAGAATGTCCACGTAACATTATTTATCTTTTTCTCTTTTTCCATACGTGGAATTTCATTTATTTTGCGTACATGTATAATACTTGTTTATTTTATTCCAACACAACACACACACACACACACACACACACACATATATACATATATATATATATATATATATATATATATATGGCAGAAAGAACCAAAAGGTTTCAAGAAGTGCTGAAACCGAAGAATAATCATATATGAAGTATAAAAATAAGATGAATCCTCAATGTGCGTGATCTGTTTTTTTAAAAAATAAATCACTCAATATCAAAAGAATATATATGTAAACGGACTCATTCTCTTACAACTTGCCAATAACAACCATCTACGCATTCGTAAAACAATACATACATACATTTGTTTTAATAGTTTCTGTTTTTTAATCATTTCACCACAAGTAAGGCAATACAAATACTAAAGAGTTAGGGGCTACTAAATGTGAGAAAATATGAGAGAGAAAAAATAAACACTATTAAGGAGAGAAAACAATAAAAGACGAGGAATTAAGAAGAAGAAAGATAACGATTGACATTGATTTTAAATTGTTTAAGACCAAAGTTAACTGGTAAGCAAGAATCAAGAACAGAAGAAGCGAGAAGTGTAAATGAAAAAAACTGTTAGAACTTATAGTAACGTCTAGTTATTTCAGCTATAAAATGATGAGTCGTTACCGCCAACTTAGTACTTCACATAAAATCATAAAGTTTAGATGCCATAGAGGAAAGTTCATCAGAACAATTACCATGAAAATATGTATAGAAAACGTATAGGGAAGCTAAATTACAGCAGTGGCTGAATAAGAGAAGCCGAGATGCCGGTTCAGAACCGATAACATAGAAGATTCTCCTTTAGAATTTTGAAAAATCTCTAAATACATAAAAAAAATGTACCAGAACAGATGTGACATCAATATTCAGTGCCTGCACGAATGGTAGACTTATAAATGTGTAACATGTATTTTGGCGAGAAAAAAAGTCTTCAACACGACAGATTGAACCGATTTTCCTCACAGCGGAAAACGTTAGTCCGGAAAGATGCATTGAGTTACGTTCCTGGTGGTTAGTATCTGCCATGTTGATGGAAGGCAAAAAAAAAAGGTTTCTCTAAGACGTTTAAATGAATGACTTACCGTTTTGTAGGCGTTAAAATTAACAGGCCATTTCTTGCCCCTGTTAACATTAGATAATAGATAATTTTTAAGAACAGATGCGAATTCGACCTTACCGAATTGATCAGACTTAATATTTAGACAGAAGTATATAGCTGTGTCGTCAGCATATATACCGAATTGAGAACTGATAATATCAGGAAGGTCGTTGATGAAAATGAGGAACAACGTAGTTCTAATGAAAAAACTCTGGAAGAGATGCACATTAATGAAAAAAAAACATTTAGAAGAGTAGAAGTAAAAAACAACTGTCATTTCGGGATTTGATAAGAAAGATTATATCAGATTAAAAATATGCCCAGAAATACCAAATTCAGCTATGAAGAAGACCGCTATTTCAAATCCTCATAAACGTTGTCATCTTCTTGAAAAAGAAAAAAAAAGACCATGGCTATTATCTAAAACGAAATTATAATTGGATTTACACATTATGTGTATAAAACGGAAATGTTTCGAGTTAGTAGACTAAAATTTATACTAGTTTAAAATAACACATGTTAAGGCAGTATGAATCCTGTCAAATTTAAGCAAATACCGGCATCAAATTTATGGTAACCTTGATTGGAGGACTGAGAACTGTGAGAAATGTTTATCGAGATAATTCCACAAAAAGTCAGCAATTTCCAAATGGAAAACACGTTTAAAAAATGGTGAAACGGAATTGAAAATGACAAACAGAAGTATAGACCACCGAATCGATTTCGAGGAAAAATCAATGCTCTTTGAGATTTAATCGGGAACAACCGATGATTAAAAATCAGAAAAATAATTACGACCCTAGACATCTTAGTTGCTTCATTCTACTCAATTTTATATGAATAATCAAAACTGAGGCAATATTTTATTCGTTGGGCATTACATCATTTTCGCGAAATCAGCAACAGACAAAAGTAGAAAATTTTATTGAAATTTTATTCAACGAATATGATCAGTATCTTGAATGCATTCTGTTGAGAAATGCAGTTTGAGATGAATCTTGGTTTTACCGGTAAGATCCTGAAGAAAAAAAACCTGAATCAAAGTCATGCTTAAGGAAAAGAAGACTGGATCCATTTAAAGCAAAATTAAACCGAACTAGATGCAAGTTTATAGCAGTCACGGACAAAGTGCAGGCCAAGAGCCATATGCGGTCTTTCTTGCTTTCAGAATGGCACGCCGAATTCCATGAGGAAAATAAGCTTCATTAAAATTTTATATACATTATTTACATTATATTGTCCTCATCCTTGTCGCCATATTTATTACAATGTTTCAGCCGTTGTACGCTCCGGCCTTCTTCAGGTGGTTGGAGTGTCGAACTGAACCCTTTATTTCGCTCACTGGGGTAGACTGTTCTAGTTCCACGCGCCATGTTTAATGAATGTCAGTTATCTCCTGTTTATTCCTCTTTCCACTGTCACATGATCTTTAGTAAAGGTCACCATATACCTTGAGTTAGAAAACAAGGCAAATAGGGCATAATTTACGTTTCTATTCAGAAGGAAAGGTATTAATTTTATGTTTTCTCCCAGACAAAATGTATTCTAAATAAAGAATAGAATTTCTTCGTTTGAAAATTAGTCGAAGGCAAGTAACAGGTATTGTACACTAAGATATACACATGTATATACAAAAAGGCTTAAGAAATGTGCCGTCTTTATCTATGGCACCGAAAAAGTTTGTATCACTTGAGTGTGGACGTATAATTTGTATTATTTTTATTATTTTGTATTTTTACTATAGAAAAGTACTTTCATAGTGTTTTGTTTAGGGGTTCACTATTTACCCATAGCTGGGATCCTAACAGGTGCTACTACCCCGGGTCAGGGTGGACCTGGGAACAACAACAATTAAGAGGTGGTTCCATGCTCGTCAAAACCTCCGATCTCCCGGCGAGAGGCCTTACTGCCAGATGTAGTTTATCGTCATACCCAGGACTATTCTTTATAAAGAACACTTGTTTAAGCCGACATAATATGGCTACAAATAGAATGGCGCATGTTTGATGAAACAGTAAAAGTAAAAACTTGGTTTTACTTTAAGAAAAAAAGAGGTGAGATTTGATCTGGAAGAAAACGATAATTATAGATTCAAAGAAAGAAAAAAAAAAAAAAGAAAAATGGAAGGAAGAAAAGCAAGAATGAAAGGAAGAACGGAAAGAAAGAAATAGAGGACGAAAGAAAGAAATTAAAAAGAAAAATAAAGAAAAAAGAAAGTAATAAATAAATTAAGACAAAAGAAAGGAATAAAAGAAAGAATGAAAAGAAGGAGAGACGGAAAAAAGAAATAGATTACGAAAGAAAGAAAGAAAAAAGAAAAAGGAAGGAAAGAAGGAGGAACGGAAGAAAGAAAGAAAGAAAAATGAAATAAAGAGAAAAGAAAGAAAGAAAAATGTAAGTAAAGAAGGAAGGAATAGAGGAAGAAAGGAAAGAAAAAAGAAAAAAGGAAAGAAAAATGAAAGAAAGAAAGGAAGGAAGAAAGAAAAGAAGGAAAAATAGAGGAAGGAAAGAAAGAAAAAAGGAAGTAAAAAAGAAAAAGAAACAAAGAAAGCAAAAAGAAATGGAAGGGAAGAATGAAGGCATAAAGAAAGGAAGAAAAAAGAAAGAAAATAAAGAAAGAAAAAGAAAGAAAGAAAGAGAACTACACCAATAGCGATAAACCCTTAAATAGACGATATAATGTTGAAATACATTCATAAAACTAGCCATCGGCAAACACACTCCCGTCAAATATCTCACATATCTTTCTTTGTTAAATCATCACTTGAGAACTTTTTAGTACAAAAACCTAATTTTAATCTTAAAATTGCTCTAATTAGTTTAGAGTGAAATCATCTATCCAATTCTGTATTTTTTTATTCATATTTGGAGAGCGTTTATTTTTTCTGTCTCTCTTTCTTCTCTCTCTTTCTCTCTCTTATTTTTTAGTTTTCCTTTTTTTAAATTTCATTTTTGTTTGTTTTTATGATTTTGAAAATTTTAACATTTTTTCGGCGTAGATAATTTGTAATAAAAAAAATAATCTTAAGTAGTTTTCAGTTTTTCGAAAACGTCACTTCCGTTTCCGGTGAGCCCCGGCTTTACCATTGTCCTCGCGTGAATCCCAGAGATTATATATGACAATGGAAAATCCAAATGATGATTGACAACTTTATAAATCTGTCTTCTTCCCACTTGTACATAGTTTTCATTACAGACACGAGTTGATATCAATTTCGTGATCTTCAGTAATCTTGATGGGATGTATTAACTTAAATTATAAGAAATTCTTTTAGGTTAGCTTGAGATATAGCCTCGGGAAACCCTCACATCCTCCTCCTCCTCCTCCTCATCTCTTTCTCTACCCAATATATTTAGGTATGAACAATGTCCCTTCTTGGACGTGAGTAATAATTTCTTTAATCTTTTTTTTTGGTTTTCCTTCTGAAACTGTCATCAAGACAAAGTTACCTTCGTAGCGTACGTTGTTTAGGCTACGACCATCGAAAATAAATTGTCATCTAATTCTCTGAGAATTATTTCTATTTATTTTTTAATACAATTATTTTAAAGGAATACAGGGAATTCCACTTGGCTGCAGGAGTTTCCGGAAAGTTTTCAATATTGACAGCCAACCACCTTCGGGTCTCCACACCGAGTTATCTGTCTGGATTTACTTCCATAGTTTTTTTCCGTGTTTTGATATGACCACAAGACAGCGGAGGTTTAAAAAAAGTGTTTTCCTTCCCTTATATAGACTGCCATCCTAGGCTATCGAGCTCCACCTACCTGAAGCAGCTGGTTATGAGGCGTCATTTTTCCCCCTTCGCCCACACTCCTGCTTGGAGCTGAACATTGTCAGAGGCTAATCGAGACGCATGACACGGAAGCATATTATAGACGTTTTATAACGGTACGTCAGAGAGTGTGCCGTGTAGTTTAGACAGCGCACGTCCCCAACCTGTACCATCGCACAGGCATTCGCCCTAGAGAGGTCACTCCAGGACTGGATTTTGATTAAACAGAGCGCTGACTTTATCTCGCGAGATAAACGGATGCCTACTATACTATATTTCTTATTCAGATAATACAAGGTCCAAGAGCCACTCAATCTAGAGATATATAAAATTAGATTTACTAGGAAGAAGTGAGTGATGTATATCATGTGGATATGGTAGAGAGATAATGGTTGACCTGCGACTTGAAGAGATTAAGATTACCATAATCGGGAAGCTTCCTTTCGAGAGTGTCTCACAATGCAACTGTTTTGAGGAAGAAGCTGTGTTATTTGAACTTACTCCTTTCAAATGGAATATAAAATCAATGTGTGTACACGTCATGGCGGGTCCTTGCTGTGAAGGTCGCGATAAGTTTCTTCCGTTTGATAGGGGTTGTAGGGTGGAAAACACTTTATGAACCACAAAGCCTCACATACGCTTTTGGGTGCTTTCGAGGGCGGCGGAATGTTATGCAAAAAGGGTCACAAGGGATAGGGTGATGATCAGTCGCATCCTGAATGGACACGTCTCGGAGAATAAAGAGCCCTGTCTTTATAAGGCAATATTTGCTTTGATAGTCCTACAGTGGCCGAAACGTATCAGCTAAGATGTTTTAGTATTGTGCATAGTCATTCATTCATTCGTGTTGAGCACTATGACAAAAGGAAATTTTTAAAACAGTGATTGCACCTGCTAATAACGCATCGCTCTCCAGTTGCGAATTGAGCGCTCTGGCTGCTGATTTAGCGTTTATATACATCATGTATATAATATGTTAAAAGATTCATTTTTTTTGCTTTGCGCCGATAGTTTATAGGGAGAGTATCTGGCTTATACCAAATCAACCGAGTTTTGATCCCGGCTTGAAGTAATCGGATGTCTACTCACGCTGATGAGCTGCGATATATAGTGGAACATGTTTATATATATATATATATATATTGTCTGTATATATATATATATATATTATCTGTATATATATATATATATATATATAATTTAAAGAAAACAGACAACTTTAAGTGGCCATGGTTATAATTTATTTCCTCAGGCAGTTTTTTCCCTGGCTCATCAATTAGGTCTGATGAGCCAGGGAAAAAGAAACTCGCTGGAGAAATAAATTATAACCATGGACCTCAAAGTTGTCTGTTTTCTTTAAATTAAATTAATTTCTCTGATTTAACATTGAGCTCACCGGATTTAATCCTCCTTGGGATTATCCATACGGATTACCGAGATTTTCATCACTTATATATATATATATATATATATATATATATATATATATATATATATATATGAAAGAAAAATTTGGAAAAAACAAACAAAATCTTTAAATGCAATTATGTTGTTTAAAATGAATGAAATGTCGACGTCTGACGTTTCGGTTTAATAAACCTTTTTCAAGACAATATTCATTAAAATACAATTCAGTTCAATTTGACAAAGACGATGGACATAAAAAACAAGTGTTATCTGTTTTGGATAAGACTTGTTGTTTATATATATATATATATATATATATATATATATATATATATATATATATATATATACTCAAAACGATATAATTCAATTTACATTATTTGCATTGTTCGGAATGGTGTCTTCATCCTTATTGTTATATTCACAACGTTTCGGCAGACCGTTGTACGTTTCAACCTTCTTCAGGTGATTGGATTTTCTAACCGAAAACTTTATTTTGTCCATCGGGGTAGATTGTTCAACATTCACGGATATCTCAGTTTTAGTGATTTCCCTTTAAATCAACTCCCTAACTTTTGTTCACCTCTGCTGTGGTCATATATTGAACTCGCAATGAAGATGAGGACAACATTCCAAACAATGTAAATAATTTAAATAATTACAATACCTCATCTCAGAAATATAGACAATTTTAATTCAAGATTGTACATCAATACGGTAGTATAATATACATATATACATATATCTATATAAAAAATGCAAATGTCACTGTGTCACTGTGCCATAACTTAAAGGGATACAACTCTCTAATTTTCAACAGCTCATTTCAGATGAAAAAATACTGTTCTCAAATTACAGTGTTTCAAAATAAAATTGTCCGTGTTTTCACGTTTACTCCTAAAGACCATATCCTACGATTTTGGAATCAGCGCAACTCTATGAGCAAATTGAAAATATCCCGGGCTGGATCCGGATCCGCAATCCTGAAATTTTGGATTCACAATTTTTCATATTGCAATTCTTTTCCGTTTCCACCATTTTTGCTTTACTGATAAAAACAATTAAAAGAGACACAACTCTGCATCTTTCACTAGCTTATTTTACAGAAGTTTTGGATTCACATGTTTTCATTACTGCAATTTTTACATCATTTTTGTGCCAATTTTCTCGTATGATAATAATTTTTGTAAGTTGGAAATAATGTTGGGAATAATTGAAATTAATTTCGAAGTCCAGCGAAAAAAGGATCTACACGCATCAAATTGTCTTTAAATCAAGAAGAATTATCGTTGAACTTTTAAAAGATAAGCTTAAATATTAATGCAATACTTAAATGCAGCCAGTTCTTCTGTAGTTTATTGATCCCATCACATCTACTCCTCCCCTACCTATTGAGAAGAAGGACAATCAATACCCCTCCGCAGGAACTAAGCTTAAATACCCCGATATTATATATATATATATATATATATATATATATATATATATATATATATATATATATATATATATATAATATTTTTATTATAATAAATTACAATAAAAATATTTTACATCGCTACACAAAAATTAAATAAAAAAATATTTGCCTCTTTTCGTAGGTTAAAGTTATGGCCCTACCTTTAACTTACGAAAATAGGTAAAGATTTGTTTTTTAAATTTCCCTAATAAATCATTTTTATCATTAGTTATGTACCAGCAGCTGAAGAAGTACCATATTAGTATTAAAACATAAATGTTTTTGGGTTGTGATGTAAAATTTTGTTATTGTAATTTATTATTATAAAAATATTATATTAATATTTTGCTCTACATTTTATTGAGAACATTTAAAAAAATAAATGCTACGAAGTGTGGATTTTTACGCCATCTTTCCTTTCTCTCATTTGGATATACATGTATGTGTGTGTGTGTGTGAAATAAACAAATTTAACACATTTATGACAACCGTAAAATCCGGTATTAATTATGAAAATGAAGATAAGAACCTGGTATTAATTATAGGTGTTAAAAAAAAATCCGCTCTTAATTATAGGTTTTTAAATGGTAATGTCAAAGCTGAGATTAGCTCTACCCGTACAGGAAGATTCGGGATTTGGTGACCGAACTGTTAACGTTGATGTCGAATGAAATTTAAAAGAAAAAATTCTCTTTAAACAGTTTTTTTTCAAGTCCATTTCTTAAGTCCATTAATTGCTCTCGCTCTTTCTCGCAGTGACGTGAGTTTCCTTCTTAATCGTTTGAATTCAACTTGTGTCTAATATCAACAATATATCATTATTTTCCCTTCTAGTTAAATGTCTTATCTATTTTATTTCTTTCCGCTGTTTATTGTCTTCGTATGATGTGCATTTCGTTTTGGTAAATTTCTTTGCTTGGCATTGTGCAGCACTAGTCTATAAGGTCTGCTGATGTGTTGTTTTTCTTTCCGACAAAATCCAGTATAAATATATATTCATAAAAAAAAGAGTGAAATTTCGCTTTTTCGCTATGATACATTAATGCCCACCGTCCAAAGGGTGTGGCGTTCGGCATTACTTAGTTAATTAAAATTATTAATTTATACAGGAATAATAATCTTTATGTTTATCTTAAACATCTGTTACGTTTTGGATATGATTAGCTAATACATATATACCTAATATATAATTATTTTTCTTTTATATGCCATGTCCCTTCAGGATTTTGGCGAACATCACTAAACACAATTTCCTGTCTATAATATTCAGATCATGGTATTATCAGTATTCTACTTTAGAATGACGTTTCTATTGCTTCAAGTCTTTTTTAAAGGATTGTCGAGCATTTCCTGCCATATAGGAGGACTGCTATTACGTAACAATTCAATACTCTTCCTTGGATTCTAATGAAAGTTTCATGTTTCTTAATACTTTGCTTATTTTT